CCAGCAGGAAGTAGGTACCCAGATGTTAGCTGATTGGTGAGGGTTGCATCCTAAAGTAGAGGATCAAAAGACTTCAGTGGAAATATAGCAGACATAGCGGCTTTACTGGTTTTTACTGGATTAAAATAAGATTTTGTTCAGATTTTTAACCTGGAGGGTTAGCCACCCAGGATAATTCAGTAAAGTCACTGTGTTATCAGGGACTATCTGTCTCATTCCCATTAGGGATCTTTTAATCTTCTCCTCAGGCTGCCATCCACAACAGTTGACAAACACCCAAGTACGTACTTGATTCTAGGTGAAGAGGGACAATAGGTGTAAGGAAACATGCCCAACATTTCACCTGTGTTGGGGGTTGCTCACAGACTCAGGATGCAACCAACCAAGATAATAATCCAAATAAAATATTCAACAAAATTAGAACTTATCTAAGATAAACCAGAATTATGTTGTTGGATAACCTGTGATTATATTTTAACCTGCCACTTGCATAACTCAGATGTCATTGATTTGAAAACTCAGCAACTTAACCAGATTCGTTGTAAAACATTTGTAAATTTTCTCAATACTTTTATGTACACGTATTTTAAGAAATTCATACAGTCGGTCTGTAAAACCAGCTGTATTTAAAAAGAATAAAACTTTCTTTACTGTTGCAAGGAAAACTCTTTAATGTTGATAATTATAGTTACCCAGTGTTTAAAAAAATGCAGCTATTGTTATAATAAAATTTGTCATTTAACTCATTAGCTTTTTTTCACAACAGGTTAGTGTCAAGAGCAGGCCTCCTCCGACACATGTCCTTGACCTTCAAATTTTATTCTTTCTCCTTACTTGTTTGAGAAAAAAAACACCAGAATACATGCACTTGACACCACACATTCTCAGATTTTTTATCATTATTTCCTTGTGTTGTACCATGGATTCATGTACAGTATATTAAAATTTCATCATTACCTTTTTCCTCTTAGGATCAGATTTACTCTGCACAACTGTTACTAGAACACTATCATAGCCCAAATACTGTATACGGTATAAATATACAGTACAAAAAAATTCAATACAGTACTGTAATTTCATCATGACCTTTCTTCCTCAACTATTGCTAGAACACTTTCATAATCAAAATATATGCTACAAATATGCAATGCTGTACATCAGCTTGTCCGTGTACATTACCTACAAATTGATGAACTAGATGCATGTACAACATTTGGGTATCTGTTTTATATAAATAAAGTTACCAAGATGTTGCACATGTGTCTAATTCATTATATGTTAATCCTGTTCGTGGATATGAAGAAATTCAACTTGTTTATGCCTGGGGAGAATCATGCAGGTTTTTGGCAGCATCACAATCTTCAGATGGCTGTGATACTTAGATATAGCCACATCAACAGTAACATATACCAAGATGTTCTTAGGTTACATATAGTATTATAATTGAAAAGTTTCTGTGAAATATTAACATTGTTCATGAGATGAAGGTGTGAATTTAACCCTTTCAGGTTCCAGAGGCCAAATTTCAAAGTGCACACCAGGGTCCAAGAATTTTTAAAAAATAATTTTGTTATTTTTTCTTATGAAATGGCAGAGAATCTTTTTCTGAAGGTAATAAAACAGAAAGTACGAAATTTGATGGAAAATTGACGAAATTATGCTCTTGCGAATTTTGATGTGTCAGTGATATTTATGCATCGGCGATTTTGCCAACTTTGACTCCCATTTTAGGCCAATTATATTATTCCAGTCGATCAAATTCTTAGCTATTTCACTAATATTACTTCTATGCTATCGACTGAGCACAAGAAATCACCAAGTCAACTGTTTCAACAACAAAATAAGTGATCGGAAATTGGTAATTTGGCCAATTTAATGCAAAGTTCAAAATATTCTAATTTCAAAATAGGGTCCAGAATAAACAATGCAGGCATTCCTGGAATAAACTAACATTTCCTCTGTTCATTTGTTATGTTTTCAGGCTTTACAATGAATTTCATTTTGATTTTTTATTCACATAATAAATTTTTATTCAAACCAAAAATAGAAGATTTACTGTTAAGCACTACTGTAATAATTGTATAAATAATATCACTACATTTGTGAACGTATATTAGACCCACCAGCTGGCGTGTATTAGACGTGTGGGGTCATTTGTTTACTCTTGAACATCGGCAAAAATTTAACATTTCTGCTATTTTGAGTTCAGTTTCAACCCATTTCCATTATTAAAACCAATCAAAATCATCTCTATTTCTGTAAAATATCTTCCATTCTATCAAATGAGACCAAGAAATTGCATATACATTTATAAAAAACATACAAAAAAACACTGCAAAGTCGCTGTTTTAATCGAAAATTAGTCAGTTTTTCCTCTCATTATGCACTGTGCTGAAGGATTTGTTTATGTGGTGCACACATACCACATCTAGGCCCAAATTTACCGCTCACAGCTTATCAGAGTGAGCTGAGCTCATGGCATAGATCTATGGTTTGGACCCTCAATGTATAGCCGTAGATCTACAGCATGGACCCTCAAAGGGTTAAATTCGTTTCCTTCAGATCTTCCTTCCATAAAAAACTAGTGAATTTTTTTAATTTACTTGACTGGGCATCCTTCAATAAAATCCTGCGAGTTGTTGAAATTTGTAAATTAGGATACAATGAATTTTGAGGATTAATGTACCAATATTTCTCTTAATATCCATATAATTTTATTTTTAAGCATTTCAATATCTATATGCTGTACAGTACAGTACTATGTATATGAAACTTGATCTTTGCTATACAGGAGGGTCCCACTTATACAGTATGGTTCTGGGATACTGCTGTAAAGCAAAAATCACTGTAAAGTGAAACAAATTTTTTTAATTTTTAAATGCATATAAAAGCTTGATAACATGTTTACACTATCATTATTATGTGAGCAATAGACCTAGGCCTAACATTTATTATGTGAGCAATAGAGCTAGGCCTAACAATTGCATATACAGTACACACATTACTTAAAATATTTTTGTCCTTGGCTTATAGTGAGTAGTGAATATATTTATTGTAGGAAGTTCTGAATAAATGAAGAATGGGTATAATTGAAAACTGCTGTAAAGTGTAGCACCGTAAAGTGGGGTCTGCCTGTACAATATTGCATGCAGGTTTCTCTCCTGTTTACTCTGATCCAATAATACTCTCGTTTGTAATTATCTCGTATTTTTTTCCCCTTTGATGTTTACAAGTTATTACATTCTATATTCTTCATGTGATCACCTTTCACTTTCCTCATTTCCAATATAACATTTTAAGTTAAATTTTATTATCCACATATCACATCATGTCCAAATTATTTTTTGTCTTATACAAAATTCGGAATTTTTTTTCCTAATTTTCTTCTTAGCTGTATGGTCACGCATAACATGCAAGCATAAAAAAATATAAATGCATGTGGTCAAAAAGTGACAGAGAAAAAATATGGGAAAAAATGCATTTTGAATGCATTTTAATTTTTTTTCCCACAAATACAGGTATGAATAGTATATTGAACATGAACCAAATGGTTATATACAATATAAAATTATTATATAAATACATTTTATAAACAAAAAGTGCTCTTTACTGCCTGTAAAAAAAATAGTCTGCATTTCTTAAAAACATGCTTTACATGTAGTACACACTATTGAATAAAAACAAAGTGCATTTGTTACCACTTATCATGACTCCATAATATTGCAAAGCATACATCATCAACATGCAACTACATGATAGTAAAACCCCTACAGTATTAACCCTTTCAGGGTTGGTGCCATACTAGTACGGCTTGCACGCCAGGGTTGGTGCCGTACTAGTACGCATAAATTCTAGCACCTTCAGATCTAGTGAGAAAAAGCTGGTAGGCCTACATATGAAACAATGGGTCTATGTGGTCAGTGTGCCCAGTATAAAAAAAATCCTGCAGCACACAGTGCATAATGAGAAGAAAAAAAACTCCGACTGTGTTTTTGGTTTAAAACAGCAACTTTGCAGTGTATTTTCATGTGCTATTTATGGTTATATTCTAGTTTTCCTTGGTTTCACAAGGAAAAGGACCTTAAAATTGAGCTCAAAGTAGCAGAAATGTTCGATTTTTGCCGAAGTTCAAAAGTAAACAAATCATGCCATGCGTCCAATATACATCAACTGGTGAGTCTAATATTCTTTCACAGGTGCGCTGATATTAATTTTACCATTTCTACACTAATGCAGTAGACTGCATAACAGTAAATCTTCTATTTTTTGTGAGAATAAAAATTCAAAATGGAAAGCAAAAGAAATAACAGAGGCCTGAGGATGTGACTAATGAACAGAAGAAATGTTATTTTAGTGCCAGGAATGTCTGTCTTGTTTATTCTGGACCCTATTTGGAAATTGGCATCTTTTGAAATTTGTGTGAAATTGGCAAAATTGCCAATTTCTGACCACTTTATTGGATCGGTAAATTGGCGGTGTTTTGTACTCATTCAATAGAAAAAATGGAGTTCTAGCAAAATAGTTATGATTTTTGTCGACTGGTACATTGGAATTGGCCGAAAATAGGGCTCAGAGTGGGTGAAATCGCCAATGCGTAAACATCGTTGAGACCGCTAACTTCACAAGAGCATAATTCCGTAAGTTTTCCGTCAAATTTCTTACTTTTGGTGTCATTGTGATCAGGAAAAGATTCTCTATCATTTCATTTTTTTTTTTTTTTAATTCTGACCAAGAACATGTTTAGGAGAGGGCCTGCCGACACTGAAAGGGTTAACAAAGACTTCGAACACTATGGTACTAGGTCTAAGTTTTTGTTGTATGTAATTAGTTTTACTATCATTAGCATGAATATTTTATTACACATAGCGTAGACAAGAATTTGTACATAGTGAAAATCCATGTAAATTGAGAGACGTGTACTTGGTGGAACTTTGTCCAATCACTGGTTTCCTTATGTTAACAAATGTTCAGATTATTAAAGCAGCCTGTGTTTTTTTCAGAATGCGTCGTCGTTTGAACAGTCGAGCGTTTGATCCATTTGATGAATGGCTTGAGTCGCAGGGTTTATATCGCAAGCAAGTAGCACGGGATGGATCCTGTCTTTTTCGTGCTGTTGCTGAACAAGTAAGTTGAATTGGTTTATATGAAATAAAAATTGTGATCTGGCAACTTTTTTTATACTGTCTATACATTACAAAAACAGGTAATATCAAATATACAGGATAAATATACAGTGAAAATGTTGCCAAGAGTACATTTGTCCTAGTGGACATCTGATGGTGATTAACCCTTTGACTGTCGCAACCCCCAATCCTGAGGTGTCTCCTGGTGTCGCAAAATTTAAAAAAAAAAAATTATTTTTTCTTATGAAATGATAGAGAATCTTTTCCCAATTGTAATGACACCAAAAAAACGAAATTTGATGGAAAGCTGGCGGAATTATGCTCTCGCGAAGTTAGCGACCTCAGCGATACAGTATTTACAAATCGGCGATTTCGCCCACTTTGAGCCCTATTTTCGGCTAATTCCATTGTTCCAGTCGACCAAACGCATAGCTATTTCTTTAGAACTTCATTTTTTCTATCGATTGAGTACAAGAAACTGCCCATTTACCGATTTCAACTACCCAATAATGTGATCAAAATTTGCAATTTGGCCAATTTCACGAAAATTAAAAAATATGACAATTTCAAAATAAGGTCCAAAATGAACAATGCAGACATTCCTGACTCTAAAATAACATCATCTTTGTTCATCAGTCACGTCTCCAGGCCCCTCTGATATTACTCTTGCTTTCTATTTTGAATTTTTAGTCAAACAAAAAATAGAAGACTTACTATTATGCAGACTACTGCAATACTGTAATAATTGTATAAATCCATAAATACAAAACACCGATATGAAAAACAGTACAGAATGGGTCACATAACCAGAGACCAAACAAAACGTTACTCGTCAGTCCTAACCAGCCTGATAAGAAGGGCAAAAAAACTGTATTATGAGAACAGATTATCCAACTTACGAGGTGATATAAAAAAGACCTGGAAGACCCTATCAGAAATTCTGGGAACAAAAAAGATATCACGAAATAGCAAAATAAAATTAGCAAAATCAGATGAACCCCAACTCCCACCAACAGAAACAGCAAACAGACTCAATGATTTCTTCTCCACTATAGGACAAAACCTTGCCAATAAAATCCCAAGCTCAGATACCCCACCAAATGACTACCTCACTGGCAACTACCCGAACACACTTCCTAGCTCCGACTAACCCATACGAAGTCTCCCTTATTATCAACACACTAAAAAACAAGGCAGGAGATTTAAATACCTTACCACCCTTTATGTCACAAGTACTATCACCAATCATTGCAACACTTTAACAAATCCATTGAATCCTCCACCTTCCCTACAGCTCTCAAAATAGCAAGGGTCACCCCGATCCATAAAGGAGGAGACCAAACAGTTGAATAACTATAGGCCAGTATCCAATTTACACCCTCTCTCAAAAATCTTCGAAAAATTAATTCATAAACGAATCTACTCCTACCTCATCTCCCAAAACATTCTCAACCCCTGCCAATTTGGATTCAGGCCTAATAAAAATACTAATGATGCTATTATACACATGCTAGAACATATATACACTGCAATAGAGAAAAAAGAAGTCCCACTGGGGATTTTCATTGACTTACGTAAAGCTTTTGATACAGTTGACCATGACTTGCTCCACGTAAAATTGTCACACTATGGTATTAGAGGGCACTCCCTCAACTACCTCAAGTCATACCTCAGCAACAGAAGCCAATATGTGTACGCAAATGGGGCAAGCTCTTCCGCACAACCAATTACAGTTGGTGTCCCACAGGGAAGTGTCCTTGGCCCTCTTCTCTCTCTCCTATACATAAATGACCTACCAAATGCTTCGCAATTACTAAAACCCACACTTTTTGCAGATGACACTACATACGTCTTCTCTCACCCGAGCCCAGTCACGCTAGCCAATACTGTAAACACCGAATTACAGAAAATATCTACCTGGATGAGGACTACAAACTTACATTAAACATTGACAAAACCTACTTCATTCAGTTTGGTAACAGAGCTACAGATGTACCTCTTAACATAACGATAAACAGATCACCTATCACAAAGCTAACAGAGGGAAAATTCTTAGGAATCCACCTTGATAATAGACTCAAATTTCATACACATATACAACAAATTTCTAAGAAAATTTCCAAGACTGTAGGCATACTATCGAAGATACGGTACTATGTTCCACAGTCAGCCCTCCTGGCCCTATATCACTCTCTTATTTACCCCTATCTCACCTATGGAAATTTGTGCATGGGCTCAACAACAAATTAACCATCTCAGACCACTAATTACCCAACAAAAGGCTGCAGTTAGAATGATAACAAATTCTCACTACAGGCAGCACTCTCCACCAATATTCAAAACACTCAACCTACTCACCATACAAAACATCCATACTTATTACTGCACCTATTACATACATAGAACACTTAACTCTGATATTAACCCTCCCCTCAAACATCTCCTTGCCAACCTCAACAGTACACATGACCATAGCACAAGGCACAGATCACTCTTCGATGTTCCTCGTGTCCATCTCACGCTATGCAAAAACTCAATGCACATAAAAGGCCCTAAAATCTGGAATTCATTACCTGTAAATATAAAAGAAACACTACCTGTTTATAAATTCAAGTCTCTTCTCAAAGATCACTTACTCACCCAAAACCAAATAGATACTGAATAACTGAACCTTATAAATTGTATATCTTAAATGTTTCTCACAATTATATCACACAAATGTTAAACCTAGGACCCAATCTAACTTCGTTATTTTTTTAAATACACTACTTAACAGAATACTCCATTCGACTGAATGTACAGCAATGCATGCAACCATATGACCTGTCTTTGTAATACTCATTTGTGCTTTATAGTTATCTGTTTACAATAATGTTTTATCACTGATTTCATCATTGCTTAGTTAATCTGAAGTTAATTTTAAGCCAGCCCATAATGCTATGCATATAAGTGGCTTTGGCATGCTGCTCTTACCTGTATTTTTTGTACCTCTGTATGTATGCTAAAATTACTAAAATATACATATACAAAATATAACATCAACCCATTCGTGACTGCATATTAGAATGGCTAGTTGGACATTTATTGGACAATGACATCATTTGTTTACTTTTGAACATTGGCAAAAATCAATCATTTTCCCTACTTTGAGCTCCATTTCCAGGTTCTTTTTATAGTAAAATCAATCAAAATCACCTCTACTTCTATAATATGTTTTCCATTCTATCAAATGAGACCAAGAAAATGAGAATACAACCATAAATACTATACGAAAATAGACCACAAAGTCGGCATTTTAAAAAAAATGGTTGGAGTTTTTTTTTCTCATTATGCACTGCGTGCTCCAGGATTTTTTTTATATGGTGCACACTGACCACACAGACCCATTCTCTCACATGTGGGCCTACCAGCTTTCTCCTGCTTGATTTGAAGCCGCTAGAATTTATGAGTATATATACATCAAACACGGTACCTCGTAAGACGTATATGTACGGCCACGACAGTCAAAGGGTTAATTGGAAGAAACTCTGAGGACTGACATTTTCATGGTTATCCTATATGAGTATGCAAAATAACCACAGTGAAAAAATAATGGAATTCCAAGCACTTTTGTGATTTCTCATATTATCACATTATTCCATGATGATGTGAGAAATCATGAAAGTGCTTGTAATTTCTCTATTTTTTTCACTGTAGTTATTTTGCATATTGTGATATCACTTATTTACTGTGATCTTATTGCAACTTGACAGGTATATACAAATAAAATGTTAATTGTGTGAATAATACATTTTAATTATCTCTTCAGGTGTTCATGACACAGACTGAGCACATTAAGGTTCGGGCGCTCTGCTTGGAGTATATGATGCTACACAAGGACGATTTCCAGCCAGTAAGTGTTTTTGTAAATTATCATATGATTTGCTTACTGTTGACTAGCAGACACTATTACTACTTGTTACATATGTTTATATCACTGACCTGGTTAATATTGATAATTGTAAGAAATAAAGACTAGAATAGAGATTTGGGCATGAGAAAGATAATTGCCAGATAAACATTGGATAACTAAATATTTGGCAGTTGCCCATCAGTAAAACGTGATAATCCAAATACAGCCTTTCCTCACTTAATGACAGAATTCCTTTCCTAAGACCACATCAGTAAACAAATTCGTCACTAGGTGAGGATCATACTATAATGGTACTGGGTTTGTGTCAACCATCTTTGATATTGCTTTAATGTCACCTTTCACTGTTTACAACATTTCTGGTATATTTTTATATGTTTATACAATAGTGTACTATATATTGTAATAGAATAGAGAAAATCAGCTCTAATATACATTATTTAGGTATGCATACTGGTCAGAGAGCTCGTTGTAAGTCCGAGTCATCGATAAACGAGTACGTCGCTAAATGAGGAGAGGCTGTATTCAAATAAGAATGCACACAAATTTGGAGCTGACTGTATTTTCATTTGTCTAGTAAACATACAGCTGTACTTTTTCTTTCCGTATTGGTCAGCAGCTTGCAGAACAAGTTCAAATTTATGATTGTAAGTATTGAGGGTAATAATGTTAACATTACTCAACCCTGCAGTACTGTGGGAGTGCCTGGCAGACAAATATCTGGGTATGTGTCACTTCCAGTGGGATGGGATTTAACACTGGGGACTTCCAACGTAATCAATGCCAGAGGGATCAGGTGACTTAAAGGGTTTCAGGTATAATGCACCAGGCTGTAAAATAATGAGGTATATACACCTACCACCCGACTTATGACCTGCTCGACTTACGACCACTCGACTTACAACAGTGTTTTTTTTGCCAATTTTCTGGGAAATAAACAACTATTTCTGTTGTACACAGTGTTTATCCTAAACCTTACAGTATAAAATACAGTACTAACAGCATAAAAAGTAAAGTAAAACATGAAATACCAAAATAAACAATAAAATAAAGTCATTACAAAAATGGGATGTTGATATTCAGTAGTAAAGCTCGACTTACGTCCATTTCGACTTACGACTGGTTTCTCGAAGCCGAACTCGGTCGTAAGTCGGATGGTAGGTGTAGTATTTTCTGGTGTATGAGGCACTTTTTTATTTTTAAGGCATTAAATACAGTGGACCCCCGGTTAACGATATTTTTTCACTCCAGAAGTATGTTCAGGTGCCAGTACTGACCGAATTTGTTCCCATAAGAAATATTGTGAAGTAGATTAGTCCATTTCAGACCCCCAAACATACACGTACAAACGCACTTACATAAGTACACTTACATAATTGGTCGCATTCGGAGGTAATCGTTATGCGGGGGTCCACTGTAGTATCTTGCGTGGCATATGAAAGGTTTGTGTACACCTACTGAGTCCTATTGGTCTGTAAGTTAGAATAGACCCAAACACTTGTCTTCTTGTGCTGTGCAGCAGCTGAATCTGAACAATTGTAAGCACTATCATTTATTATGGGGAATTAGTCAAAATACCAAAGGTGGAAGAATTCTCCAATAACCCACTTAGGAGAGGAAGCTCTAGATAATGTTTTTATCTGCCCCAGACTGGTACCTTGACTTGCAAGTTTAATTTGTTCCCTGACTGAGCTCGTAACTCAATTTGCTCGTATAGCAAATCAATTTTCCTCATTGAAATGCCATTAATCCATTCCAGCCCCCCAAAAACCACCCCAATTTTTTTGTTATGGGTTTTTAAATAAGAAAAATGTATATATAAATAAGAAATGATTTTTGCTAGGTCCCAGCAATGTTTTAGAAATGCTGGAGTATACTATATGGAACTCCTTGAAGCACGGTGTAAGATGAGTGTCACTCCACTGCTGACAGTGCAGCAGTGGAGTGACATTTGATGATTGTGTACTGCCTTGGCTTTATTTTTCACTGTTACACATAAAAATGTCTATCTGTCTGTTTCTGAAATTAAGACACGTGCAACATCTGGGTATCTTTATTGTAGACGTTTCGCCATCCAGTGGCTTTATCGATACAAATTCCAGGGCATAATTTGAAGACAGTAGAACTATGTACAGAAGATGAGGTAATCAGTCCCTCAGCCTTGGAGTTGGTGTGAAGACACTGTAGTTGTGGAGGTTTTGGAGCAGAGGCAAGAAGCCTGGTGCTTGTATACTAATGTCAGGTGGAAAGAGGACGTGTAGCAGGCGAGGGCATTGTCACTGGTAGGTGGGATTCCCCAGTGGAAGTAGGCCCTACCCAAAGAGATGGGTTAGTTGTAGTAGTAGTTGTCGTAGCTGTGAAGAAGGTTATGTACATATCCTTAGAATCAAGATTCCATGATGTTGCAGTGTCTGACAAGTTATACAACAATGGTATACAATACTGACAAGATGAAATTAAGACGTGCAACATCTGAGTATCTTTATTGTAGACGTTTCGCCATCCAGTGATATTGTCGGTATTGTATACCATTCGTGTACAACTTGTCAGACACTGCAACATCATGGAATCTTGATTCTGAGGACATGTATACAACCTGGAATCTTGATTCTGAGGACATGTATACAACCTTCTTCAAGACTATGACAACTACTACACATCCCCTTTCCACCTAACTTAAGTATATAAGCGCCAGGCTTTTTGCCTCTGCTCCAGAACCTCCACAACTACGGTGCTCTTCACACCAACCCCAAGGCTGAGGGACTGATTACCTCATCTTCTGTCTATAGTTCTACTGTCTTCAAATTATGTCCTGGAATTTTTATTGATAAAGCCACTGGATGGTGAAATGTCTACAATAAAGATACCCAGATGTTGTACATGTGTCTTAATTTCATCTTGTCGGTATTGTATACCATTCTTGTACAGCTATCTGTTTCTTTCTATCTGTCTAGCTCTGTCTCTGCTTATCAGTCTTTCTGTCTGCCTGTGTTTCTGTCTTCTTGTCTCTCTCTCTCAGAGAGAGAGCCGCTCATGAACTAACAGATATTACACTCGATAGTCATCACGTCTGATTCCTGAACAAGTGAAACTGTGTATTACTTGTCAGTCATGCTTATTATGCATTATATCTACAAGTATATTATAACAGTTTGTATTTTTGGTGTTATCCTAGGTAATTTACACTATGTATAACTGTGTTTATGTGTACCTGTGAGACACAGACACACAGATAGACAGAGACAGAGATAGATACATACAGACAGAAGGAGATAGAGACAGCCAAAGCAAATCAGCCAGCCAGCTGGCCACCCAACCAGCCAGCCTGCTGAACATGTATTACATGTGTTTCAGAATTGTTTCTCTTTACTTAGGGCATAAGTTATAGAACATTCTGGCAGGATGACATTACCAGTAGTATCAGAATTGAAAGGATGTTACACATTGGTTATTATCGAGGTTTTTTATATTTCCTCGGTATCTCCTGCGAGTGGTGGCGTATCTGAAGCTCGCTCATAACTCGGATTTTGGCTTGCAACTCAAAGCAAAAAATCGACCGAGCAGTGGCTCGTAACTCAGAAAACTTGTAAGTTGGGGCACTCGTAAGTCAAGGTACCACTGTATTAGGTAACCTTTCTTACTATAGAATTTCTTATGCTATTATCTTAACCCTTTCACTGACTTTACTGTAGTACTACTGCTTTGAGGTCACTGTCAGCACTGTAGTACTACACCATGAGCTCAACTCAGATGAGCAGGGACCAGTAAATATTGGCCTAGATATGAGAGAATGAGTCTATTTGATAATTGTGCACCATATAAAAAATCCTGCAGCACGCAGTGCATGATGAGGAAAAACTGTGACCGTGTTTTGGGTTTAAAACAGCGACTTTGCATCTATATTCTTGGTTTCTTGGTCTCATTTGATAGAATGGAAGATATATTACAGAAATAGAAATGATTTTGATTGGTTTTCAGGATTTGGTAGCTTGAAATTAGCCTCAAAGTAGTGGAAGTGTTCAATTTTTGCTGATGTTCAAGAGTAAACAAATTGTGTCATGCATCCAATACATGTCAGCTGGTGGGTTTAATGTGTGTTCACCAATGGGCTGATATTATTTATACAGTTATTACAGTATTGCATAACAGTAAATCTCCTATTTTTGTATGAATAAAATATCAAAATGGTTTTCATTTGTAAAGCCTGGGAACATAACTAATGAACAGAGGAAATGTTATTTTAGTGCCAGGAATGCCTGCATTGTTTATTCTGTTTCTATTTTGAAATTGGAATAATTTGAAATTTGTGTGAAATAGGCCAAATTTCCAATTTCTGATCACTTTATTGGGTAGTTGAAATAGTTGATTGGGCAGTTTCTTGTGTTCAGTCGATAAAATAGAAGTAGTACTAGCAAAATAGCTAAGAAGTTGGTAGACTTCAATGTTGTAATTGGGCTAAAATAGGAGTCAGTGGCAAAATTACCAATGCATAAATATCGCTGACGCAGTAACAATTCGTGATAGTGCTGTTTCGGCAATTTTCCAACAAATTTTGTACTTTTTTGATTTATTACCTCCAGAAAAAGATTTTCTACCATTTCATAAGAATTTTTTTTTTTTTTTTTTTAATTCTTGGACCCTCAAAGGGGTTAATTTAGCCAGGATTCCATACAAGTTAAAACTAATAGTGTTCTGGATCATTGTATTGCATGTGGCAGGCAATGCTGACTCCATTTACTTTCACGTGTGTAAATCATTTTCCGTAACGACCAGTCTGGCTTCATCCCACTTCATGAGGTGTCGAAAATTATAGTATGTACAGTGGAACCTTGGTTTTCGTATGCCCTAGTTGGAGACAATTCTTGGAGAAAATTCTCTATAAAATGTATTTTTTGTTAATATTTTTGGGTGTCTGGAACAGATTAATTGGATTTTCATTATTTCTTATGGGAAATACTGCTTCCATTTTTGTACGATTCAGTTTTGTAAGTTTTTTCGAACGGATTAATCATGAAAACTCAGGTTCCACTGTATGTCGTAATTAAGATTATCCCTGTTACACACATTCTTACACTTTTTTCAGATGCTGC